TACCCTGGACTGGGCTACTATTCGGGCTTCCTGGGAAAGCGTTTTCCGCAGTCGTCAGCAATCTGTCACTTGGAGGAGCGTCTCGGGACCGATGAGTGCCATGTTCATGAGTCTCCGGAGGATTGGATGGGATATGAAGAACATGGTAGTTTTCACTGATGATATGGGTCGAGAGCTCTCCTGTTCGCAGCTCTCGCCAGCGCTTTTCAAGGTTCTGCTGCGCCAGGCTGTGCTGCGCCAGCTCGAGAGAGCGGCCTACGGCAAGCTGGTGGACGGCGATCTCTTCTGTGGCGTTGGACTTCCTCCGCCAGAGCCTGCCCAAGGCCTAGATGAGCCTGCTGCCGTGGAGTTGGCCCCCGATCGGAAGCCCCCCGACCTCGAAGGATCGGGTCGCCTTTGTTTCGATGTCGTCAAGGCTGGTCTCCGCTCGAAAAAGCTCTCGGCCTGGGAAAAAGGCTCCGTTCGTGACCTCACCTGCAATGCCTTGTGGACCAACTCCCTTGCACTAAGGTATGGCTACCAAGTGTGCCCTCTGTGCCCGCTGTGTCACACTAAGGTGGATTCTGTCTTTCATAGACTATGGGAGTGTGAAGCATGCATGGAGGAAAGGAAGGAGCTGGTGGATGAGGAGGTCATCTCTTGGGCTAGGGACGCGTGTGACCAGAACTCTGGGGACCCTGTGAACTTCTTGACGGGTGCCTTTGCGCATCCTGGCGACTATGCGCCGCAACCAGTCAGCCAGCAGGACTCGGATGCTGTCAAGATGGAGTTCTTCCAGGAAGGTTTCCAGGATTCAGGCTTGGATTTCCAAGGGCCCGAGAATATTCGCTTTGAAGGCAGTTTGTTTCTGGGCGGCAGTTGTTTTCAGTCTAAGATTCGTGAATTGTCCAGAGCTGGCTGGGCTTTTGTGCTGTTGTCTGATCAGGGCCATCTCTTGGCCAGAGTGCTAGGGCCTGTCTTTTCTCACTTGCCGCAGTCCTCTCAGGCTGGTGAGTTCACGGCACTGGCTGCTGCCGGTGTCAATTTAGATGGGCCAGCGACTCTTTTCTCGGATTGTGCGTCGGTTATTTCTGTGTGTTCCAGGGCGCCTCGGGACCGCCTGGGGGGGCATAGGGCCTACGCGGGCTCGGTCCTGGAAGCCTTCGCGGGCGCTGGCCCCCTCCTCCAGGGCCCGGTCAAAGTCGCCGCGCACAAAGCTGTAGATGAAGCAGGAATTTCTGCTCAGGAGGCTTGGCGGAGGACAGGTAACTTTCATGCCGACCTCGCGGCTAAGCGGGGCGCAAGTGTCCATCCCCAAGCCGACCCTGTCGTCCTGTCTCGCGTCGAGCGTGAGATCAGGATTGCGAAGGCTGTCATCCTCTTGGCAGCCAAGCTCTTGCCGCGCTGGCCGCGGCTCGACTTATCTGGCGTTCAATTCATCAAGCCCCAGGCCCCGCCAGCTCAGACGTCGGTCTGGGGAGTTTTGGCAGTGCAGCACGTGTCTGAGAGGCAAGCGAGGTCAGGCGCGCCCAGCGCCTGGCCACTGTGTAGTGCCTCCCCGCCTGTGCCCGAGGCTCCTTGAGCAGTTCAACCATCTTTGTGCGTTGTTGGACTGCACGGACGGCTCTTTCCTCTGTATCTGCCGTCGGTGCGGCTCTTACAGCACAGGCGGCCGCGTCAAGAAGCTGGGTGAACCCTGTTCCTGTAAGAAGACAGGGGCAGGACTTACGGCTTGGAACTATGACATTCCAAGGCCGTCACCCACAGCAGATCAAGAGGGAAAAGAACGCACAGTTTTTGCCCTCTCCCTGGACTGTGCTGTGAGGAGAGGCGGTCCCCACTCGTTGGGGGTCTAGCAGAGGTCGAGCGTTTAAACAAAAATCCTCCTCCTCCTCCTCTTGCCCATCCTCCCTCTCCGCCCCGCGAAGCTGCCCGACCCGGCGCCGGGCACGCCGGACGAGCTGCTGCGCAAATCCCTCCAGTTCGAGGCGCCCGCGGGCATCTAACCAAGGGCGCCCTCGAGGGCGCGAAGTTATTCGCGCTTCGCGTTTCGCGGTTCGGCTCCGATTCCTCCTCAGCCTCCTCTTCTCCCCTGGGAGGCGGCGCGAGAGCGCGAATTTATTCGCACTTCGCGCTTCGCGCAGCGCGAAGCTCGAAGTTGGGAGCCCTTGCTAACCCACGATTCTCGAGGCTTGAGTTTAAGTCGGGCCTGTCCCGCTACACGAGGAAGATTCGAAATAATCAAAGATAGTCCGGGGACGATGTCTGGAGTATATTTTTGGCCTATTTTCGATTTTGTGTGGAGTGTTTCTTATTGATCGTCCAAAATCAGCCTGTAGGAGGACACGCCCGACCTACATTTCACCCACGCTCCTCGAGGCTCGAGTCGACTGCACGTGTGGGGTGTTCCAGAAGGGCATCGCCTTCGAGGGATCGAGAAGTCAACATCTCTCGTTCGGCGGAAGCCGGCGGGAGCAAAAGAATCGGGCCGAACGAAAGGGGGGGATAGGGAAAGGGAGGGTTACGAAATCTGCTGCATGCAGCTGGTTTCAGCCCCACCGAGGGGCCCATTCTTCGATACATGGCCGCCTCCGGCGCCGGGAGGCGCCGGGAAAATGAGCTACGTGAGTTGCCTCTCACCCCCCCCCTTTGCTACCCCCCCCTTTTGCCCCGCCCGAAAGAATTGCGCCCCGTGCGCGCCCCCCGGAGAGACGGCCTCATGCCCCGATGCAGGATTGCCAGAGCGGGCCACCGCTCGCTGAAGTGGCCTTTGCTGCGGGCCGGCGGGGGTCCCCCAAACCCCCGATCACTGAACGAGAAGCGGATAGCATCGGACGGGGCGAGGAGGAGGAGAAATACACATGGTTCATTTCTACTTCTTCGAGAGTTCTAATTGTTCGATCCTGGGCCTCTTCCTGGCCTCTAGGGGTCAGGAACAACTAGAAACGAGCACAATTAGAAATGAGCACGGCTAGAAATGAACGACGTGTAAATCTGTTCCAGAGCGTTCCGGAACGCTCTCAGAGCGTTCCGGAGCGCTCTGAGAAGGCCGCGGCGCCCGAGGCATCCTCCAGAACCGCTGGATCTCAGAGATTCTCGGTTTGTCCATACCCGATGTTATCCTCGTCTTGGCTGTGTCTTATAGCAGCGGCTTGCGCGCTTGGGTGTTTACCACATCCTCCACTCCCCGCCGCGCCGCGCCCTGGAGAGCCGCGCACCATTTGCAACTCTTGCCTCTTGCGCAGTTGCCGCTCTTGCGTTCAGCTGCCGATCTCGAAGCCGATGGCACGCTCCCGGGGATCGAGGGTGGGGGACCGAGCCCCGGGGATCGAGGGCTGGAGCTTCTCCAGCGACTTCGGGCATCGAGGACCGAAGCTCGGAGGCCGATCCTCTAGGGTTTCGGAGGTCGCGGGCCGATGCCGCCCGCCGAGGGCGCTCCACTCTGACCGGCAGCCTGGCGGGCACCAGATGCTCGAGCCGCCGCTCGGTTGGCCGTCAAAGGTCTCTCAGTGCTCCCTTGCGCCTGGACGTTGCGAGCCCGCCCGCCGTCGTCAGCCCCCCTGGAGTTGCGAGAGGGCAGAGCACCTTCTCCGGAGCGTGAGAGGAGGAGGGCGACGACGAGGATCGGGCGATGGCCAGGAGGGCACGCGCACCGATCCTGGGCTCGGGGTGGGCCTGGTGGTGCCAGGAGCGGGGAGGTCAGCTGACCTCGCCCGAAAACAGGAGGAGGGCGACCAGGGCACATGCACGATACACCAACGCTGCCGCAATACAGTCAACGGGACCGGTAAGGACGCGCGCCTTCATCTAGGGTACCCTTGTGTCCTTGCCTCAGCGGCCCGTCCTCTGCTGTTGTCATTGGTCGCCCGCCGCCCAACAAAATCCAACTTCGGCCTCCAGAAGTCTTGCGTCCTTACCACTCGTCCTCACTACACGTCCTGACTGTACACCTTTCCGCCGCAAGCCCCCCCCCTCACGAGTCCCTACAGGCCCTCCGCTCGCCTCCAAGAAGGTTGACAGACCAGCACCGTCAGGCCAGTCCAGCGAGAGCCCCATGAAGTACGAAGAGGAGCTGCCTTGCATCCATCCAGCGAGGAACGAGGAACGCGCGAGGGTACGATCACACGGCGTCGCTTGGCGTCGCACGAGGCCCCCGTGCCGAAAACAACAACGCCGCCCCGTCTGTGCAATGGTTGCGCGAGATTTTACCTCCCAGCGTGCGCGTCGAGGAGTTCCCGAGCGCAAGCCCCGCTTTGAAAAGGAAGCGCCCTCCCTCCGCGCAGATGTTCCAGACATCAAAGCCCACGACCATTGCATCGGTTCCAAGTGTTTGCGACGAGTGCGCCCGTTTGAAAACAACTCCCTTTCCATTCTTGACATTGCTGCAAGCTTCACGCTTCGTGTTCGTAGATGGTGCGGAAGTCTCACGCGAAACGCCCGGTCTGCTCTATCGACGCGTCTGGGGGCGCGACAGGGTGGAGTTACTCATAAGGAAAATGGATCTGGGGAGGAGGAGGAGGAGGAGGAGGAGGAGGAGGAGGGGGAGGAGGAGGGTCCTCCTGGGCATCAAGGGAATCGGGGCTTTATCGCTCGACGCTGTCCGCAGCTCGAAGCTCGCACGGTCCTCCTCCTCCTCCTCCTCCTCCTCCTCCTCCTCCTCCTCCTCCTCCTCCTGCACGGGCCTATCGCGGCCGGGTCCGCTCCAGAACCCCGGCGCGAGGGCGCGAGGGGCCCCCGAGGGGGCTTCCGCCGAAGGCTTCCGCCGAAGGCTTCCGCCGAAGCCCGCCCGCGCTCCGCCGGAGAAGAGAGGTCAGTCAGAGCGGGTCTTGCAGGATTCCGAGAGCCAGGGTGGCGTCGATCTGGGCTTGGGTGCAGGACCTGCCGAGCCCGAGTGACGCGGGCCTGGATTGACCCGGGTCAGTAGATCCCCGAGGGAAGCGGGAGGCCCTCCCCGCGGAGCTCGCGCAGCTCTCTCGGCGCCGCGGCGCCGCCGCGAGGCCCAGCGCTTCAGCAGCGGGCAGATGGGTTTCGAGGCCAGCGTAGCGAAGAGGACCCGGCCGCGTCGTCGTCGTCGTCGAGGCCAGCGTGGGGAAGAGGACCCGGCCGCGTCGTCGTCGTCGAGGCCAGCGTGGGGAAGAGGACCCGGCCGCGCGACACAGACGGGCAGCACGGCAGCGGGTTTTCGGGGCCTCGCGTCGATCTTCGTCGATCGATCGTCGATCGTCGATCGTCGTTGTCGTCGTCGTCGTCCGTCGTCGTCGTCATCGTCGTCGTTGTCGTCGTCGTCGTCGTTCGTCGTCGTCGTCGTCCGTCGTCGTCGTCGTCGTCGTCGTCGTCCGTTGTTGTCGTCGTCCGTTGTCGTCGTCGTCGTCGTCCGTTGTCGTCGTCGTCGGTCGTCCGTTGTCGTCGCCGTCCAGTGTCGGTCCCCAGTCGTCGGTCATCTGTCGCCGGTAACCCGTCGTCGTCGTTTGCCGCCGTCGCTCGTCGGTCGTCGTCGTCCAAAGCGTCGAGCTCCGTCGAGTCGTCGAACGCTGCGCGACGCCGGTGCCCGCGCGCCCCCCCTTTTGGCCGTGGATCGTCGTCGGTGGTCGTTGGTCGTCGTCGTCGGTCGGTCGTCGGCGACGGCGTCGTAGTCGTCGTATAGTCTTGGAATCCACTGCCCCTCTGGTCTGATGCAGCTGTATAGGAGGGGGAACAGAGGACGGAGTGTTTACGCAGTTTGGAGGAATTCGTGAATTCAGTATGGGTCGGGCTTGAAGCGCCTCGAAGAAAGCGCGCGCGCCCGAATCGCAATCATATGGCTATATGCGGACCCAGGACAGTTTGCTTCCCGTCGTCGGCCTCGCCCTTGCTCCGTTCCCCTTCCTTTCTTCCCTCCCCTGGATGATGTCGAAAGCGTCCGCGGCTCGGGCGGGGGAGAGCCCCTGATCACCTCCCTCATTATTCCTTGTTCCTCTTTGCTTCCCTGCTCCACCGTCCGTCGTCCTACCTCGTCTTCCATCCATGCTCGAAAAGCGGAGTCCCTGGTGCCGCGTGCCCGCATCAGTGGTAGATCGCCTTTTCGATATCCGAGCACAGCGGAGCAACCAAACAGAGGCGATTGACAACGTGAGCGTTCGGGGCGCACTCCAAACGCGGGCGGCACGGCCGCCGAGCACAGTCGCATCGCTAACATGTAAATTATAGGTGCCTGCGGCAAGGCCCGCCCCTTTACCAGCGCAGCGGTCTGTATGGCGACGAGGGGAGCTTTGACTGTTAAGAGGTCCGTGGCATGTGACACCTCTCGTGTTTTGGGACTGCTGCGCGGCATTTTTCGGGGTCATTCGAGGCCTTTTTCGGGGCATCTTCGGGCCGTTGGGGGTCGCTTTGTTGCCGCGTTTCACCGCGGCCGCCCTGGGCCAGGGAAGCGTGTATTTGCAGCTCCCTCGGGGGCGCCCTGGGCCGGGGAAGTGTGTATTTGCATCCCCCCCTAGCTGGGCATGTCGACTTCGGTTCTGGGTTGGCAAAGTCGGGGCACCCTCGAGGTGGCGAGCGTTCACCTTTCCGGAATACACAGATCAAGGTGTGATCTGTGTACACAGTTTGTGTCTTCAACTGTGTATTTTCGTGTGTGGGCCCACTGTTTACACAGATCGTGGTGTGATCTGTGTACACAGATCTCGTTCCCATCTGTGTATTTGGAGTGTGCGCCTCGCGGGGGGTGTTGACTGGGCGGGAACTTACACGTTTTTCGTTCGGTGGTCCAGGGGGGGTGTCGTGCGCAGTCGAAATACACAGTTCGTGTTTCCAACTGTGCATCTGTCGCGCGCCGCTCGGCGGAGTGGTCACTGGGCGGGAGTTTCCGCGAGTCTCCCAGCTGGTCCACCAGGGGGCAGTTTGGGCATGCAAAGGCGCGGGGGGGTGGGGATGGTGGGCTGTGGGAAGGAAGGGGTTCGATAGGAGGGGCGGCCAAAGAGGCCAGGGATGAACCGGAATGGACGAGAGGGGAGGAAACGGGCCTAGGAGGAGCTGCATCATCGGTGTCACCATCACATGGACGAGGGGGGCGGGGAGGGGCACATGGAGGGGGCATGATGTGCACTAGGGCGTCGAGGATGGGAGGAGGGCAGGCATGTGGACGATAAGGGGAATTAATCCGGCGGAGGAGGACGACGAGGAACGACATGAATTGGCACATGGGGGGGTGACAATGTGGATGAGGGGCATGGTGAGGACCGGGGGTTATCGGAGGGGCATGAGGAGAGTGGGGCCTAAGCGAAGGGATCTTGGAAGGCGGCGGGGGATGGGGCATGAGTTTGAGGGCGGGCGCCAGCTAACGATTAGCTGAACAGTGTTCTGCGTATACGCGCACCCCCCCCCCAGAACACAGTGACCTGTTGTAGAACTTCATGATATGGGTAATCGTGCGCTTCGTGCTTCCAGGCCACAGGCTCGAGTCGACGACGCCCCTTGGCGTCGCGTTGATGCCGCCCCGATTTGCCAGACCGCATATGCACAGATAGGCATAATATGTGTTTGAACGTTTGTTTCATGACCCTCTCTATAGTAACAGACCCGCGTTGGAAACCAAGTATAGTCGTCCTTCGTCACTGGTGGTTCGCCGCCGTCGGTATTGACGATCTCCGCCGTCGTCCGTCGTCGCTCGTCGTTTGATCGGTCGATCCATGCCGTCGCCGTCGATCGATCGACGTCATCGTCATAAAAGTTTGCTCTCGATCGATCGGTCGCCGATCTCCGGGCTCACGCTGCACGCGCGGTCGAGGAGGCCGAGGAGTGGGATGAAGACGATGATGAGGGCGAGGAGGAGTCCTTCAGTTTGCCGTCCCCAGGGGGAGGAAGAGCAGCGTTGTCCAGGAGCATCAGGGAGGTCGAGCGCAGCTTTGCCGAGATGTCGCTAGCCTACGACCGGTTCTTGAAGGACCCCCCTCTACAGCGTGGTGGTTCCCAGACCTGCAGCGGTCCGAGGGTCGAGGATCGAAAGATTCGAAGTTCGAGGACCCAGGTTCGCGGGCCTTCCTGGGCTTCCATATGCCTCGGACTTCTGGGGACCCAAAGATTTTCGGGAACCCAGACTTCTGGCGGATTGATCGTTTCACTCTTGGCGCTATTCTCGGCCTCCAGCGGCTGCTTTCGTGCACCAGGGTCATGAAATCACAATCCCGGATGAAACATCGCCCCTGGGAATGGGGTCGAGACTTCTGGTCCCCGCGGAATAAGATAATCAATCCGTCGGAGGTCAAAATGATCATGATTTCAATGCGAACGGGGACGAGGAGGAAAAAGAAGAGGCCGACGAGGAGGAGGAGAAGGAGGAGGAGGAGGAGGAAGAGCAGGAGGAGTTGGAGGAGGAGGAGGAGGAGCGGGATGGAGATGAATGTGATAATCAGGACCTGGTTCACGTTGAAAGCGATGTTCGCATTTGTTGTGTACTTATGCTTTTACTCAAGAGGCTTACGCCATTCCGCTGACACCCAGAAGAGGATACGTGCGGCTTCCGATTTCGAGTGTGTTGCTTGCGGGGCTCACGGGGGCCTAAGGGGGTGCCCTCGTTGAGCTGTTTCCCAACCCTTCCTTTGGTTGGGTCCTCGTTGTAATAGAGCGCTGCTCGTGCAACATCCTCCTGCGCATATGCATCCCCTTCCTCCTGACTTCTGCATCTTGCTTTTCCGACCCTCCCTCTGGTTGGGCCCCCGTGTTGATCAGAGCATTGTTTGCTCCTCGCTTCCGACTCCTACATGTCCTACTGGGGGGATGCCGAGTGCGCAACCGTTGCCGCTTTTGCAGGCTAATGGGAGGTCCAGCGGAGTGAGTAGTCATGGGCACCCATCCGAGACCTCGTGGCTGCTTTGAGGGCTGGCAACTGCGCAACTGTGGCCACTCTCGTGGGCTCCTGGGAGGTCATCGGAGTGGGTAGTCACGCAGACTCCTGCGAGACCTCGCGGCTTCCGGGGGGCTGCGAACCATGCAGCTGTCGCCACGTTCGTGGTTTCGCAGGAGGTCCAGCGGAGCGGGTAGTCACGCTCATCCAGATTAGACACTGCAGCTCCCCGGGGGGGCTGTCAACTGCGCAACCAACGCCGCTTTCGCAGACTCTTGGGTCTTGGGAGGTCCAGCCGAGTAGAGGGTCACGGTCACGCACACTTAGGCGCGACATCGCGGCTCCCTGGGGGCTGGCAGTTGCGCAAATGTTGCCAATTTCGTGGGCTCTTGGGAGGTCCAGCGGAGTGGAGTGTCACGCGAACCCAGCCAAGACCGCGCGGCACCTTGGGGGCTGCGAACTGCGCAATAGTCGCCGCTTTCGTGGGCTCGCGGGAGGTCCAGCGGAGTGGAGTGTCACGCACATCCGGATTTGATTTTGCGGCTCCTTGTGGGGCTGTCATCTGCTTGAGGGGGCCGCTACTTTCTCTGGCACTTGGGAGGTCCAGCGGAGTGGAGTGCCACGCGAACCCAGCCAAGACCTCGCAGCTCCCTGAGAGGGGGGGTCCTGCTGCCTGCGCAACCGTCGCCACATTCGCGGCTCCCAGGAGGTCCTGCTGGTGGTCCAGCAGAGCGGAGTGCCACGCACACCCAGGCGCGCCAGCATATCCAGATTAGACCTCGCGGCTCCATTGGGAGCCGCCAAATGCGCCGTTGTCGTCCGCAGCAGCAGCTGGGGTGGACCGAGCAAACGTAGCGCGTGGCGTTGTTGCTCTCGTGCGCATTTCTGTACCTTTCCCCTCTCCTTTCTACCCTTCTGCCCCCCGCTATCTGATCTGTGGCGCTGTTGTTGTCGCCGTCTCTTCTGCGATCTGAGTTGCGAAGGCGTGTGCGCGGGAGAAAGTGCCGACTTCTGTTACATAATCTCTCAGTGTGTTCTTTTGTATGAGGCGCTCCTATTGTTAGTCACCTCGCATGGAGAAAGGGTCGGGTACGTCTCGGGTAATTCAAGGCTCCCCAGGGCGTTAGGGAGCCCCCTTGGGGCTTCTCGGGGGTCTCTTGGGATCATGCTGGGGGTCTTGCTTGGGGGGTACCTTGTGGGAGGGCTCCAGGGGCACCTGCGGGTTCCCCCTCTTGGGCTTCTATTGGGCCCCTCTTGGGGCCTCTTGAGTCGTTTTAGGGCTTTCTTGAGCCAGTCTGGGGGCCGCTCGCGCCGTTTGGGGCTTACAAGCGCCCGAAAAGATGAGAACGCGAAACTCAATGAAATACGAAAGACAGATCATCGGGTGTTTTGGGTGTCCTCTTGGGGCTCTTTTTCGGCGTCTTGGGCCGGCTTGAGGCTGTCTTGGGTATTATTTAGGCTTCTCTAGCGTGTTGCAGCCCTTTGGAGCCATCTCAGCAAGCATCTTGGGCATCTTGACGGCTGCGGAGGGTTGATCTTGAGGCTCCGAGGGCCGCAGAGGTGCGTCGGGGAGCTCGTCCCCCCCCCCTCTAACAGGAGTTCGGATCTCAAAGGGGGGGGGGGGACAGCCAATCACCTCACACGCCTCAGGGCAAGCTGTTGTCGGCGGCGGGCTTTGGCCTTGCAGATCTGGATCACCAGGACTTGCACTTACAGTGGGGGCGCGCATCAAGAAACCATGTGCTTTTCGTCAGGGTATCCTGTGCTTCTTCGCTCCTCGCGCTGCGCGGCGACTTCCCGCAGCCGTTGAAAGAGCTGCTGCGTTCAGGGTGCTCCGTTGGTTACGGGTTCTCAGGGTTGGGTTTCTTGCGAGGGTTTCTTGCACCTCGTGCACCTCGTGCACGAGGTGCAAGAAATCCTCAGGTGCACCTCGTGCACCTCATGTGCACCTCGTGCACGGGTTCTCAGGGTTGGGTTTCTTGCGAGGGTTTCTTGCGGCCGCGCCCGCACTGTTAAGGGTTCTTGGTTCTCCCTCGCCGGGTCTCGCCGGGTCGCCGCCCCCATCGGGAGGTCCCGCCGAGATTTTTCGCCGCGTCGGCACTCGCGGCCGCCTCGTGGCCGCCCACTCGGGAGAGTCCGCCGAGGTTTCGCCGCCGCGTCGACGCCCTTTGCCGCCTCGCGGCCGCCCGCTCGGGGGGTCCGCTGAGGTTTCGCCGCGTCGCCGCCCGTGGCCGCCTCACTGCCGCCCGCTTGGGGGGTCTGCCCAGGTCTTGCCGCGTCAACGTCCGTCGTGGCCGCACCGTGGCCGCCCACAGGGGGGGGGGCCGCCAGGGCCGCCTTTGCAACGGCTGCCGTGGCCTGTCGTCCAGTCGCGGGGGAGAGCGGGGAAACTCCTGGGCAGACTGATCAGCGCAAAGTCGGACAGCACAAGCAACACACACACAACTACAATAAGCTGCTAGGCGCATTTTATCCAGCATGGGCCCTAAACAGTGTGTTCTAGCATACTACAGGCCGGGAAGTATTTATATTTACGCCACACGAAGGCCCCAACAACACGCCCCAACAACCTTCGAACACACAAATGAAGGCTTCTGCGCCTGACCCCGTCCGCATCAGCGGGCGCGCGATCCAAACGCCCCCCCATAAAATTCGAAATGGTTTCCCCCCTGCGAGGGGCCCCTGGAGTGATCCACCCCTTTAGTTACAATTTTACTGAGGCGAGCGGATGGAGCCTCTTGGGCGATTCTGCTCGGGACGTCCACAAAGTCTGCCTGGTTTGGCCCCTGGTTTGGCCTTGTGTGTCCGCGGTTTGGCTTTGTTCGGCAGCGCGCCCCGCTTGCCGCCTGAGACATCAGAATTTGCCTGATTTGGCCCCTGGTTTGGCCTGGTTTGGGCCCGGTGTCGCATGAATCGTCATCAACATTTGCCTAATTTGGAACTGGTTTGGCATGTTTTGGGCCCAGTTTCGGTCGAGACTTCCTCAACCCTTGCCTAGTTTCGCTTTGGTTTGGCCTACTTTGGGCCAGGTTTCGCTTGAGATGTCCTCTCAAGTTGCCTGGTTTAGCCCCGTTTCGGCACAGCTTCGCTTGACACATCCTCAATATTTGCATGCTTTCTCACTCGTTCGGTTGCATCCGTTATGGTCGCCATGCGGTCCCAACACACGGTGGGACGTACAATGTTTTGGCATTGAATGGTGAGTTGATTCACGTTGTGGTGGGCGTGTGCAAACCGAAGTACTTGCACCGTGACATGAATACCTATTGTAGCCAACATGTAACACGACTGCGCTTCAAAATGGCGGCGGGTGGCATTGGCGTGAATCTTCCCAAGACGGTGTGGATGGACATCGTCGTGTGAGGCGGCGTTATGCTATGTATGTGGTATAAGGTCTGTGATGTAAGTTATGTTAAGCAATATGTATGGTGCAAGCGTTGTGGTGCAATCTTTGTTGTGCGAGCTCCATGGTGCCATCGATTTGGAGCAGTAGATATAGGTAGTGCAAAGTATGTGATGTCAGCTATGGGATGCAACATGCACAGGTTATGCATTATAGGTGGAGCAGGCAACGTGGCAATATATGTGGTGCGACATGCACGGTTCAACCTTTTTGGTGCATATAGTTGTTGTATGCCGTGAGCTGTCAATGTCACTGTTCGTGCAATCATCGCACCCTCCCGCCCGCAATTTGGTTTTCCAAACACATGGGGTGCCGATTGCGATGACTGCTTGGCACTGGCGGCCGCGCTAACGCGCGCAAGCTCGCGGGCAGAGCGGCCAGCTAGTTTGGCGCAGCCGACGCGACCGAGGTGGTGCTGACCTGTGGAGAGTTTCCAACGCGTCTCACATACCGCGCTGGCGCGCGGGCGCTTCAGTATGGGTCGTTGGCTGGGGCGGGCGCTGTACCATGGTGGCGTCGTCGTCGGCGGAAGCGGTGATGATAGTAGCGATGATGGTGATTATGATGACGATGACGACGGCAAGGCCAATGACAGCGCCGATGGTGGTCACGCCGATGACGATGATGATATCCATGTGTCGATGATGAAGGTATTGTCGCCCGACGCGCGCGAGTTGCCCGCATGGTGTTCTTCGACAGGGATCATACCCCCCACCACCCCCACCCAATCAAGCGCGCAAGGGCGTCATAATGATTCCGACCTGCGCGCGCGAGAGGCCCGCGTGGTTTCATGTGACGAAAGTTGTGCAGAGAACGCGGGTTTCTTGAACAATTCGCAAAAAAAACGCGCACTCGTGTTGAGAAAATGTTTGAAACGCAGTTCGTTATGTTTGGTGTTTTTGAGGACCTCGAACTTGAAATCTTTACAGGAAATACGGTATTGGAGGGATTTCGACATGCGCGCGCGACGGCGCGCGCGAGTGGACTTTATCACGTATTTGTAAAATGATACTTGCTTTTTCCAGAATGGAAGACTGCGCGCGCATTATATTCTTTGACAGGGATGAGGGGGTCGATGAGGGGCATCCGTGGGATGGTACGAGTGCACATGCCGAATTAACGATAGCGCGGTGTCGTTTGTGTTCTGCAGTGTCCCAGCGCGTGACGATAATCCGGCCTCGGGGGGGGTGTAGAAGCTATTTTCCCTTTGAACAAGCGAGAGTTATACGAGGCTCGCACCATCAGAACAGCGCCCAAATTGCCGCGGCGACGGGCGGCGGCGGGCGGCCACAAGCCGGCCAGACCGGCGCACAGGCCCAGAGACCAGCGGCGGCGACGGGCGGCGAGAAGCGGCCGCAGGCCGGCCAGACCGACGCACAGGCCCGGTTTCTTATGAGACAAGTAAGAGCCCCGAATACCGGCCCCCGAATGCTGGCCCCCCTCGTGGCGGAGAGCTTGGCACGGCACGTTTCGTTGCCCATAGGTCGTCGCCGGAAAAAAAGAGACAGGTAAGAGCCCTGAGTTGCAAACCTTGTTTGAGGAACAGTCCCGTACGTGCGTGGGTGGCCAGGGAAGGTAAGCGACCCTGGACATGGTCAGGCATGGTTTCACACAGGCCTGGTTGGAGTGGTACAAATCTACGACGGTAAATGAATATGAGGATGAGGTTGAGGAGGGAGACACAGCAGAAATACGAGGAGGCTTGCTTTCTATGGCGGCATGGTGGGGGACAACCATTATGGTTTCCAAGAACTTGTCTACGAAACCACCGATACCTTCTGAGAAGCCCCCTGTTTCTCAGAAGGCCGCGTCCGTCATCCCCACCACTTCGGACATTTTTCGCAACGAGAAGTTCGGGACGGTGTGCTTTTGTATGTTCTTGCTGTGTGCAGGCCGGTTTCGGGCCCAGGGGCCGTTAATACATCCTCCGACATACCTCATGGGCTCCAGGAAGGGTTTTGGGCCGGGCGGTTTGGAACAAAACGAGTCGTTTGAGGCCTGTGTGGGGGGGAAGAGGAGTAGAAGGAGGAGGAGGAGGAATAATAATAATGATAACAAGAAGAAACATAATACTAATAATGGCAAGAAGCGTACTATATCAAGAAGAAGAAGAAGAAGTGGAACAATAATAATAATTAGAAGCATAATAATAATAACGAGAAGGATAATAATAAGAGATAAGAATAATACGAATAACAATACTTAGAAGAAGAATAAGAATAATAATCAGAAGAAAAAGAGGAGGAGGAGGAGGAGGAGGAGGAGGAGGAGGAGGAGGAGGAGGACGCCGACGACGACGGCGACGACGAAAACGACGAGGACGAGAAACACAGCGGAGGAGGCTGGAGGCGGGTGATTGTTCGACCGTTTTGGTCTCTCTCTGCGGTCTCCCTCGCCCGCTCGAGGCCCGGCGTCGGGAGCCGAGTGCTGCCAACCCGCGGGGGTCTGGTGCGGTCGGTCCCCCCACCTCCGCGCCGCCCCGCGCCGCCCCGGGGGCCTGGAGCAGCAGCGGCGGCAGCAGGAACGTCGGGGGCGGCAAAGAGGGGGGTGATGACTGGGGGGTGGTGGATACCTCTGCTTTCGCGGCGCCTCTTCTTATTCCGTGACGTCCCTGGCCCCCCCGCTGGGCCGCGCACATGCCGCCGTTCACGATTTGCCCCCTCTTGGACGCCCCCCTCTTGGCCGCTCCCGAGGAACGGGGGCCTGGGGGGGGCGCCAGAGCACCTCGGCGGTAGCAGGAGCAGCAGCGGCGGGCGGAGGGTCCCGAGGGGCAGCCGTGCTCCCTGCCCTGGCGATGCTGCCGACAGAGGGCGCCGGAGGAGCAGGAGAGGGAAGGCGTCGGGGCTCAAGAGACGGGGGTCAATGCAAACGGGGGTCAGCCAGGGCACGGGATCCCGCAGGATCCTGCGGAGACCCCCTCTGGCTGACCCGGGTTAGCGAGCCGCTCGTGGCCTCGAGGCGGCCGCGCAGATTGGCTGACCCAGGTTTGCGAAGACCTGCATTGCATTTTGTTTGTCCTGCATTCCAGTTTGTTGGTTTCCTGCTGACCCGGGTTTGGATTGACCCGGGTCAGAAGATCCCCGAAGGCGGGATGAGGCCTGTGGCGGAGGACCCGAGGCGGAGTGGAGGAGCAGGTGGTGCGCAGCGGTAGGGGGCGGGGGCCGCAGAGGCGGGCAACCTGTACTCGGGATACGACCCGGTCTCCAGCACCGAGGTCTTCTACCAGAACATCGACGACTCGCGCCTCCACCCGCCCCAGGGAAAGGGCGCCGCGCAGAGCCCCCGGGGACGGGGGGTGGGGGCACGGCGGGTCGGAGGGGGACAGCTATAGAGAGATCCGCCTCGTAGGAGGAAGACGATCAGACGAGGAAGGAGGAGGAGGAGGAGGGGGTGGAGGAGGAGGAGAAGGAGGAGGAGAAGAGGAGGAGTACGTGGAGGAGGAGGAGGAGGAGGCGGAGGAGGAGCAGGGTGGGGGGCGGCGGGTCAGAGGTGGACAGCTGTAGAGAGATACCCCCCAATCACAGATATGAGGCAGACGATCATGAGGAGGGAGGGGAGGGAGGGAGGGAGGAGAAAGATGAGAAGGAGGAGGAGAGGAGAGAAGATGAGGAAGGAGGAGGAGGAGGAGGAGGAGGAGGAGGAGAGAAGAGGAGGCGGAGGAGGGAGGAGGAGGAGGAGGAAGAGGAGGAGGAGAGGAGGAGGAGGAGGGAGGAGGAGGAGGAGGAGGAGAGGAGGAGAGGAGGAGGAGGAGGAGGAGGAGGAGGAGGAGGAGGGAGGAGGAGGAGGAGGAGGAGGAGGAGGAGGAGGAGGAGGAGGTGGAGGAGGAGGAGGAGGAGGAGGAGGAGGAGCAGGCGGAGGAGGAGGAGGAGGAGGAGGAGGAGGAAGAGGGAGGAGGAGGAGGGATGGAGGAGGGAGGAGGGAGGAGGGAGGAGAGAGGAGGGAGGAGAGAGGAGAGAGAAGGGCCAGCGGGAGGAGGAGGCGGAGGAGGAGGAGACGGAGGAGGAAAAGGAGGAGGAGGAGGCGAAGGAGGAGGAGCAGGAGGAGGAGGAAGAAAAGGAGGGGGGAGGAGGGAGGAGGAGGAGGGATGAAGAGGGAGAAGGAGGGAGGAGGTAGGAGGAGGGAGGAAGGAGGAGGTGGAGGGAGGAGGGATTTTTGTGTTTGCCGTGGACCGTTGCAGGCGGCTCCCGAATGGACTAGCAAGCAGGAACATAAGAGGTTGGCGGGATCACAACGCCTTCGCCGAAAATAAACAAACGGCTGCATGACCAGCGCGTTCAGTGCACGGCCGATACGACGGGCATGAGCGACAAAGCTCCTGCCAGGACCAGCCGATAAGCAGCATGCGCGCATGGCGGGCGCCACCCGCCAGGGCTTTTCCCGTAGCACGGCTGTCACCTCCGCGCCGTCAGAAAAGCGGCAGAGCAGACCAAACCCAAGTCCATGAGCGTCTTCGCGCCCGTGTCAAAACAGAGCCTTCAGACGTCTTCACGCCCAAGGTTAATGGACCGTCGAAGCGATAGGGTCTGGAGGGCAGTCCAAAAAGTCCGCCGAGCAAACCTCCATACTGGGAGGCGGCTTCAAAACTGCATCGGCGGCAAATTCGGATTCCCCGAACAATGTATCATCGCATTCAGATTGCTGCAATGACCCCGCCGAGCCCGCCGCCTCAACTGCAGGAGGCGGCGCCAGAACAGCAACGGCGGCAAGTTCGGAATCAACGAACAACTCATCATCGCATACAATGGGGGCCCATGCACAGGAAAACCTCCTCCAGGGTGCCGTGGGATTCTGGGGGTTCGATGGTTCTGCCATGGAAAGAATGACGTTCCCACACCAGAAATCGATGGACGTCCTGGATCGTAGGGTTGGGTTTCTTGCGAGAAATTTCTTGTGGTCGGGCACCCACTGTACACAAGGCATGGCTCCCGCCGTGCCAGCCACCTCCACCGAAGGAGGCGGCTCCGAAAGGGCATCACCGGCAATCTCGGATCCTTCGCTGAGCACTTCAACGTCGTACCCTACAGGCCCGCAGAAGGCAAAATGCTCTGGCGGAGCATCGAGTGTAATTTATGGCGAGCGCTCATCCACCGAAAGGCGACCCTCAACTGGTGGCCCAGCCAGACATGCACGCGAAGAAGAATCTGCAAATGAAGGGCGAGCCCCAGACGAAGGCTCAGCCAGATGTGCAAGCGAAGGGCGCACCTCACAGGGAGGTTCAGCCAATCAAGTCCGCGAAGAGGAACCGCCAACCGAAGGGCGAGCCTCAGAGGGAGGCTCGGCCGAACATGCCATTGACGAAACTGCTGCAGGAGGGCGCGGGAGGAGGGAGGAGGACCTGTGCAAGTGCCCGACCCCCGGGAGCGCCAGCCGCCCCTGCCGGGGCGCGGGCGCGGGCGCGCCGCCGCCTCAGCGGCGGGCCGCAGCCGGCACGCGCAGCGGGGCGGGCCGCGAGCGAGCCCGCGGTGTCGCAGCAGCTCCCTTCGGCCGCAGGCCCGCGAGCACCTGCAAACGTATCGGCGCGTGGCGCCGATACGTTTGCAGGCGAATTCGTATCCTTCGCACTGCCCGCATTTCTCTGCCACGCGCATAACTTTTTGTCTTGCCAATGCGCCGTCTGTGCGCCAGGCTTGACTGACTGACACGGGGGACTTCGTGATGCCTCGACGCCTTCCCCGACGCCCGGTGGCTCCCAGGCCGAAAGGTCGAGCCTCTGGCGGCCGTTCGGGACGACCTAGGCACCCTCCGGAAGATCCCGGCGAGGAGCAGTTGCTGGAGAGCGCCCTGGGCCGCCTGGGAAACTTGCAGGACCCCATAAGAGCTTGCGAAACCTTCCGAAAACTGGCCGCCCTCCCAGAGACCCGCTTTTACACCTCGAGCCGCGTGCTGGCCGTCGCGGGCGCCCGCGGGGCCCATGCGGCGAGCCACGCGGTGCCCGCTGCCTCGAGGCGGCATCGACGGTCGCTGCCGCGGTCCGGCGCGCCGGCTGGCGCGCTGGCGGAGCCTGCGCGCGCCGAGGACCTCGCAAGTGCCCCAGACCTCCACTGGTATGAACTAATCGCGGCGGGTTCCTTCCTTTCAGCCTCCAGGTGGGCCGCTTTCGGTCCCTTAGACCATCTAATTTGGACCTTGGGTGCAAGGCTAACTACCGCTGGGGAAAGAGTCGCAAGCCCTATGGCCCGCGGATGTAAAAATCAGTATGGGGCCACCACGGGACCCTAAACAGCACAAAGTTTCCCATCCCGATTTTTACGCCCGCAGCGCAAGGTGGCCTGTCGGCCACGCGCAGAGGAGAGTCCGAGGAGGGGGGGCGGCTTCTTAGAGAAACCCTGGCTTCTCAGAAGGCGCGGACCTTGTCTGTAGATGTAAGGCTCGCAGCTTCTAAAAAGCAGCCTCCTTCGAAGAAGCCTTCCCCCCTCCCCCATACCCCCTTCTGCGCGCCGCCAACTTATTTCGAATAAGAATAACGGCATAAACATAAACTGTTGGAGTTACGTGCAGATTTCTTGGATCGGCGCTGGGCCCCCTGGCAGCGTCTCCTGCGCCACCCCCGGCGCGCTCTGCGCGCCAGGGAAGGGGATCCATCGCGAATCCAAGAAATCCGCGCGGGCCGTCAAAAGTTGATGTTGATTCAGTTTTTTTTTTTTTTTTCTGAAGTAGCAGTCCGCAACCTCAAGGGCGCCGAGATCGGTCTACTGCTCAAGCTTTACTCGAGAAGCTAGTTTCGCGCTGCAGCTTGTCTGCTGCGTCTAACCAGTTCTCGACCAAATCTCGAGGTTATGCTTCTCATTAGATCGGGCATCAGCGAACGCCCTCGTGGCTCCGCTCTAAGAGTGCCTTAGAGCCGACTAGCGTTTGGTAGTCGATGGGACTGCGTCGATCCAGCGTCAGTTAGTGTCGAGTTAGCGTCGACTTGCGTCGATCAGCGACGATTCGCAACAGCCAACAAGACGCTGTGGGAGGCTCCCCTGAATTGACACAGAAAGCTCTCGAGCTCTCGGATCGCAGAGGCGACGATGAGCCGATCTTGAGTCCTTGCCTGCTCCAGCTTGTCGAAACAATAACGGCTGGAGCATGCATTGTCGGAGGTCCGCGCGGATTTCTTGGATCTTGGGCCCCACTCCTCGGCGAGAGGAGCGTACCTGGCGCCGCGCCAGGGGCGCATCCAGCGAGGCCCAGGGCCGATCCACGAAATCCGTGTGCACCTCCGGAAGTTAATGCCTATGCGGTTGTTTCTTCCTCAGCGGTTGCCCTAGCACCGTGC